ATATATATATATATATATATATATATTTTTTTTTTATTTTATTTTATTTTATTTTATTTTTTTTTGGTCCTAAAACTTTGTTAAAAACATAAAATTAATCGACGTTGTATTAAAGTAAATAAAAGTACAAATAAGATAATAAAAAAATAAAAAAGAAATCAATAAATTTTTCATATAAAGTGGATTAACTATGGTGTTTTGCCCACGTGACAAATTGAAAAGTTAGATTATGCATCTCACGTAAGGGAAATTTAATGTTGAAGCTAATTTAATGGATCCCTTCCTTGGCTTCACTCCAGGACTGATAAGTATGCTTCTTCTCTAGATTCTGAAGATGAGCATCTTGGGTCGGGTTAGGTCAGGTGGTGGGATGTCCTCAACGAAAATGAGATTTTAAATAATTTGAGCACACTAGTCACGATTAGTTGTTGTCTAGATTTGGAAATGGTTGATTGATGGAGAAATTTTTGAATTTGTTGAACTAGGTTAAGCTGTGCATAAATTTATGTCAATCATATTTTCACTTCTCTTTCATTTAAACATATTGTGAGATAAGTTTGGGAGTGGTCGAACCGGTAATGGATTATCTAGAAGTGTGTTGATTCCGTGCATGTTGAAAATATTAGTGTAGAGTGTCAACCAAGTATAAACTAGGTAATGACTATATGCTAGGGATCTAAACCCTATATTTGTTAATGCTAAAAAAAAAAAAAAAGTTATTATTGCACTTATTGAATCTTGGGCCTCAGTTCGTAGCCTTTTTTACTCGTGTTATTAAGTCCATAAGGATATTTTAAAATTTGGTATCCTTTGGACTAAACAACTGAGGAATTATCAGCCTAAAGCTCGCTATAAGGGTTAAGAAGAAAGTTTAAATGAGCGAGGTAAAACATGGCATTTGGCTACAAAAAAAATAATAAATAATAAATAAAATTGTTGATATGAAATTGTGATTGATATTTGGGCTTAGTTAACTAGTGGGTTTGAATTGTTGAGTATAAACTTGAATGTGGAAGCACTTATTAATGGAGAATCATCACATGATTAGAGATTGATATTGCTAGTTAGACCCAACAAAACTAGAGCGAATAAAGAAATGAGTGATTAGAGAGCAACCTTTAGTTTTACACTTGGGGAAGATAATGAAATTGCCATATTTTGGTGTGAATTTCACGAGAGGGAAAGGAAAATATTTGACCACAAAGGGTCGAGTTGGAGCTAATTTGAAATTTTTTCCATCTTGATAATTGTTTCCTAATTTTAATAATGATTATATGTGACTATGCACACACATACACAATCAAGCATTGGACAAGCTTACATTATATTTGGTAGCATGATTCAGAAGCATAGGTGTGAATTGATTACACAATTTTACACTCCCGAATGTGTTGATGGGAAATCTAACGTTGTTGGTTCTTTACAAGTATTGCACGATTATGTTAGGAGAAATCTTGCTCAAGACGAGCAAGAGCTTAAGTTTGAGGGTGTTTGATAAGTGTGTTTTTAACACTTATTAGACACTTTAATGAGCTATTTATTGATGAAATTGAACGAATTCTTGTTCATAATTGTGTAATTATGGTGTTTGTAGGTCAAAATCCCAAATTGAAGGAGAAAATGACTAAATGAAGGAAAAGAGGATCAAAAGTGCACAAAAAATGAATCGGGAACCAAAGCATACAAGTGCCTAAAGTTTAAGGACCAAATGTTGCAAATTTTGGAAGGCGTGATTGAAAGAAAATTCAAATTTTGAGGACTAAAATGTACAAGTTCAAAGTTGAAGGACTAGTGTGCAAATATGGGGAAGACTGAGCTGCAAATATTGAAAAAAGGGATGTGTACTGAAAAAAGGGAAGACTGAGCTGCAAATTCTGCAAATACTCTTAACAGAATCAATTACAAGATAGCTAATAAGAAGCCATCATTTGTCACCCACCTCAAAAGACCAAATAACCCCATTGCTTGGAGGGAAATCTATAAATACCACCGCTTTTGAAAAGAAAGCATGCAATTCAAATATTTTCCTTTGAAATAGCTTTTCCCCTTTTACTCCAAGTTTAAGCATCGAAACCAAAGATGTTAAGAGATGAAAATCATAGTTAGATGAGGTGATTTGTTAATCCAATTTTTACTATATATTTATTTATTTATTTATTTATTTTAGTAAGCATAGCAATGCTAAAATATTTAAATAAATAACATCTTTATCTTAATGAAAAGATCAAATGCCGAATCCTTTTATTTTTCTGAAATTGGCGTTAGTTCATGATTGGTCTAACGTAAAATTTTATAAAACTCTAAATCAAAATTGGTAATTAATTTTAAACGAATTTCATGGGGTCTATAATTTTTTAATTGCACATTTCATCAACTTTTATCCAAATTTAGTTTTTAAATTACACCAAACAGAGTCTTCTATTTAAACAAAGATTTTGTACAATCCAAAAGATCAAGTGGCAAAATAAAATATCTCTCCAACCAAGAGATTATGCTAGCATAATCTTTAGTCTTCTCAAACTTTTAGATGCAAAATTAATAATCAAACTACGCAAATTTTAAGGGGCGAAGTTTATTTTAAAGAGAGAAGGTTTAAAACCTGTAAACTTTATAAAGTATGATACATAACATATAACATTTATGACAACTTAAAAAGCTTTGAGTCTATTAGCATATTTTTAAAAAGTTTAGGGACCTAAATGCAAATTAGCAAAATTATCATGTTTATAGAGAAAATATTGTCAAAATGTAAATAATAATCACTCAGAATTATTAATTGGAGAAACTCGAGTAATGTGCAATTTAGTGAATCCTAGAAAGGTGAAGGACTAAATTAAAAATAATGAAAATTTAAGAACCATAATTTGAAGCCTTGTAAATATTGTAAGGATGATTCATGAGGAGGAGAATGATTTTCAGACCCTAAACCTAGCATGGGTCCCTACATGCCAAAAGTGAAAAATCTAGGGACTAGATTATAAATAGTAAGATATATTTTTAGATCTTAAGGTGACGGTTAAGAATATTTAGTGACGAGACATATCACCAAATGCTAAGAATTTTGATTTGGGCACATTTTCATAAATTTGAGATCTTGAAGGACGAAAGTGAAAATAAGTTTCGAAATCATTGGACCAAATGCGTGTTTATTGGAGGAGATCAAAATACTCTATCAGTGGTGAGCTCATTTCGAAACTCATATTAAATGACATATTATGGACTCAACTAAAGTCAATTTAGATAAGCTAAATTTGAGTTATAGCTCATTAAGTAAACTACTTAAGAGTTAATATTAATTTTATGAATCAAATAAATAGCAACATTAAACTCAATTTAGATAAGCTAAATTTGAGTTATAACTCATTAAGTAAACTACTTAAGAGTTAATATTAATTTTATGAATCAAATAAATAGCAATATTGAACTCGTTTTGTAACTTGTAATTAATTATATATGTTAGGTTTGAAAAAAAATTATTTTGAGTAAGCTCAATCTAGGTGACAATGGCCGGGGCAGGTCTCATGTTTTAGCTGTGTAATTTTCTTTTCAACTAGTTTAGATTCTTTGAAGTTATTGAAGTGAAAAAAAAAAATCCAAAAGTTTTTTGACTTTTAGTTGACATTTTTCGATTTTAGATACGTTAATGTTCCTCATTATTCAGCCCTCGTTTGGCCTCCTTTTTGGGAAAATAAAAATGGTTGG